ATTATGTGCTTCTTTTGGAAGCCTATGTATACTCAAAAGAGACAATATAAAATAAATGGAAATAAAATGAAATTTCCAATTCATTAAGGCAGTGCATAGTGGCAGCATTAATGTCTACCAAAATTAGAGCTCTAATTATACAGATTAATTCTCCATGATGATCAAATGAACCAGGCATTCTTTAACTTATGTATTGCAATAAAGTTAGATTAAGAAGCATGTAACCAACCACATCATTAAAACTGAAAGAATTCAGCAAATTTCCCTGTCTCCGGAAGGACAGACATTCTCTCTTCTTTTAATTTAGACTCATGGATGTTTCTAAAAGAAATTTTCTGGCCAATTCACATCTGGAAGACTGGGAATGACCTCTTTTTTTTTTTTTTTTTTTTTTTTTTTAACATACAAGTACTATCATATCCTACGAAAACATAAGTTTTTAAAACAAATTGTTCTATTTGCTAATGTTTCCCCACTCTGGAGCTGTTTTTTTCTTTTTTAAATCAAGCACAATATATTAAATCCAAAGTGTGAATGGAAAACAGTTTATTGTTAAATTTGATGATACTTTTATAGTGACAGGCAACATTAAATATATTTATCCCTAAAGTATGAGTTGAATTTTCTGGTGCTTTGTTGAGAGTTTTTACAAGGAATCTGTTCAATTAAGAAATATGATTACTGCTTTTTTGTTATAATTTAGGTTCTGGGGTACACGTGCAGATCATGTAGGATTGTTGCATAGGTACATACATGGCAAGATGGTTTGCTGCCTTCATCCCCACATCACCTATATATGGTATTTCTCCCCTCATTATCCCTCCCCATCCTCCCCACCCAGCTGTCCCTCACCTCGCCACCCCCGACTGACTGCAGTATGTGATGCTCCCGTGTCCACATGTTCTAATTGTTCAACACCCGCCTATGAGTGAGAACATGCGGAGTTTGGTTTTCTGTTCTTGTGTCAGTTTGCTGAGAATGATGGTTTCCAGATTCATCCATGTCCCTATGAAGGACACGAACTCATCCTTTTTTATGGCTGTGTAGTATTCCATGGTGTATATGTGCCACATTTTCTTTATCCAGTCTATCGATAATGGACATTTGGGTTGGTTCCAGGTCTTTACTATTGCAAAGAGTGCCGCAATAAACATACATGTGCATGTGTCTTTATAATAGAATGATTTATAATTCTTTGGATATATACCCAGTAATGGAATTGCTGGGTCAAATGGTATTTATATTTCTAGGTCCTTGAGGAATTGCCACACTGTCTTCCACAATGGTTGAACTAATTTACACTCCTACCAACAGTGTAAAAGTGTTTCTATTTCTCCACGTCCTCTCCAGCATCTGTTGTCTCCAGATTTTTTAATGATCACCATTCTAACTGGTGTGAGATTGTATCTTAATGTGGTTTTGATTTGCATTTCTCTAATGACCAGTGATGATGAGCATTTTTTCATATGTTTCTTGGCCTCATCAATGTCTTCTTTTGTAAAGTGTCTGTTCATATCCTTTGCCCCCTTTTGAATGGGTTTGCTTGTTTTTTTTCTTGTAAATCTGTTTTAGTTCTTTGTAGATTCTGGTTATTAGCCCTTTGTCAGATGGGTAGATTGCAAAAATATTTTTCCATTCTGTTGGTGCTGGTTTACTTTAATGATTGTTTCTTTTGCTGTACAGAAGCTCTGGAGTTTAATTAGATCCCATTTGTCTGTTTTGGCTTTTGTTGCCATTGCGTTTGGTGTTTTAGCCATGAAGTCCTTGCCTATGCCTATGTCCTGAATGGTTTTGCCTAGGTTTTCTTCTAGGGTTTTTATGGTGTTAGGTCTTATGTTTAGATCTTTAATCCATCTGGAGTTAATTTTAATGTAAGGTGTCAGGAAGGAATTCAGTTCCTGCTTTCTGCACATGGCTAGCCAGTTTTCACAACATCATTTATTAAACAGGGAATCCTTTCCCCATTGCTTGTTTTTGTCAGGTTTGTCAAAGATCAGATGATTGTAGATGTGTGGTGTTGCTTCTGAGGCCTCTGTTCTGTTCCATTGGTCTATGTCTCTGTTTTGTTACCAGTACCATGCTGTTTTGATTACCGTGGCCTTGTACTATAGTTTGAAGTCAGGCAGCATGATGCCTCCAGCTTTGTTCTTTTTTTTAAGGGTTTTTTGGGTTATGTGGGCTCTCTTTTGGTTCCATATGAAGTTTGGAGTGTTTTTTTCCAGTTCTGTGAAGAGGTTCATTGTAGCTTGATGGGGATAGAGTTGAATCTGTAAATTACTTGGGGCAGTATGGCCATTTTCATGATGTTGATTCTTCCCAACCATGAACATGGGATGTTTATCCATCTCTTTTCGTCCTCTTATTTCGTTGAGCAGTGGTTTGTACTTCTCCTTGAAGAGGTCCTTTACATCCTTTGTTATTTGTATTCCTAGGTATTTTATTCTCTCTGTAGCAATTGTGAATGGGAGTTCACTTTTGATTTGGCTGTTTGTCTGGTATTGGTGTATAGAAATGCTTGTGATTTTTGCACATTGATTTTGTATCCTGAGGCTTTGCTGAATTTGCTTACCAGTTTCAGGAGATTTTGGACTGAGATGATGGGGTCTTCTAAATACACAGTCATGTGATCTGTGAATAGAGACAATTTAACTTCCTCTCTTCCTATTTGAATACACTTTATTTCTTTCTCTTGCCTGATTGCCCTGGCTAGAACTTCCAATACTATATTGAATAGGAGTGGTGAGAGAGGGCATCCTTGTCTAGTGCCGGATTTCAAAGGGAATGCTTCCAGTTTTTGCACATTCACTATGACACTGGCTGTGGGTTTGTCATAAATAGCTTTTATTATTTTGTGATATGTACCATTGATGCCTAGTTTATTGAGGGTTTTTAGCATAAAGGGCTTTTGAATTTTGAAGGCATTTTCTGCATCTATTGAGATAATCATGTGGTTTTTGTCTTTGGTTCTGTTTATGTGATGGATTACATTTATAGGCTTGCATATGTTGAACCAGCCTTGCATCTCCAGGATGAAGCCTACTTGATCATGACAAATAAGCTTTTTGATTTGCTGTTGCATTCTGTTTGCCAGTACTTTATTGAAGATTTTTGCATCGATGTTCATCATGGATATTGGCCTGAAGTTTTCTTTTTTAGTTATGTCTCTGCCCGGTTTTGGTATTAGGATGATGTTGGTCTCACAAAATCAGTTGGGGAGCATTCTCTCTTTTTGTATTGTTTGGAATAGTTTCAGAAGGAATGGTACCAGCTCTTCTTTGTAACTCTGGTAGAATTTGGCTGTAAACCCGTCTGGACTTGGGCTTTTTAAAGTTGGTAGTCTATTAATTGCTGCCTCAACTTCAGACCTTGTTATTGGTCTATTTAGGGATTCAACTTCTTCCTGGTTTAGTCTTGGGAGAGTGCGAGTGTCCAGGAATTTATCCATTTCTTCCAGATTTACCTGTTTGTGTCCATAGAGTTGTTTGTAGTAATTTCTGATGGTAGTTTGTATTTCTGTGGAATTGGTGATGATGTCCCCTTTATCATTTTTTATTGCATCTATTTGATTGTTCTCTCTTTTCTTTTTTAATAGTCTGGCTAGAGGTCTATCTATTTTGTTGATCTTTTCAAAAAACCACTTCCTGGACTTGTAGATTTTTTTGAAGGGTTTTTTTTGTGTTTCTATCTCCTTGAGTTCTGCTCTGATCTTACTTATTTCTTGTCTTCTGCTAGCTTTTGAGTTTTTTTGATCTTGCTCCTCTAACTGTTTCAATTTTGATGATAGGGTGTCGATTTTAGACCTTTCCCTGTTTCTCATGTGGGCATTTATTGCTATGAATTTCCCTCTAGACACTGCTTTGAATGTGTCTCAGAGATTCTAGTATGTCATGTCTTTGTTCTCATTGGTTTTGAAGAACATCTTTTGTCACTACCAGACCCACCCTGTAACAGCTCCTGAAGGAAGCACTAACCACAGAAAGGAAAAACTAGTACCAGCCATTGCAAAAAAGAACCAAATGGTAAAGACCAACAATGCAATGAAGAAATCATGCCAACCAAAGGGCAAAACAACCAACCAGTAATAAAATCACAGGATCAAATTCACCCATAACAATATTAACATTAAATGTAAATGGACTAAATGCCCCAATCAAAAGGCACAGGCTGGCAAATTGGATAAAAAGCCACGAACCATTGGTGTGCTGTATTCAGGAAGCCCATCTCATGTGCAAAGACACACATAGACTCAAAATGAAGGGATGGAAGATTTACCAAGGAAATGGAGAGCAAAAAAAAGTGGGGGTGGCAATTCTAGTCTCTGATAAAATGGAATTTTAACCAACAAAAATCAAAAGAGACAAAAAAGCGTATTACATAATGGTAAAAGGATCGATACAACAAGAAGAGCAAACTATCCTAAATATATATGAACCCAGTACAGGAGCACCTAGATACATAATGCAAGTCCTTAATGACCTAAAAAGACACTTAGACTCCTGCAGAAAAATGGTGGGAGACTTTAACACTCCACTGTCAATATTAGACAGATCAATGAGACAGAAAATCAACAAGGAAATCCAGGATTTCAATGCAGATTCAGACCAAGCAAACTTAATAGACATTTACAGAACTCTTAACCCCAAATCCACAGAATATACATTCTTCTCAGCACCACATCATGCTTACTCTAAAGTTGACCACATAATTGGAGGTAAATCACTCCTCGGCAAATGTAAAAGAAAGGAAATCATAACAAACAGTCTCTCAGACCACAGTGCAATCAGATTAGAACTCAGGATTAAGAAACGAACTCAAAACCATACAACTTCATGGAAAGTGAACAACTGGTTCCTGAATGTAGACTGGATAAATAATGAAATGAAGGGAGAAATAAAGATGCTCTTCAAAACCAACGATTACTGCTTAGTAACATAAAAATATACTTATTTGAAATACTGAGGGCACAATTAGTGTTTGGAACTGGATATCTGCATACCTACCTGAGAGGCATGGGAAGTCTCTGTGTCTTTCTTCTGTGCTGGAGGTTTTCCATCTGCAGTCATTTCAATCATACAAACAACTCCAGGACTCCCAACAGGCATTGTGTAGCTAAACACAAAACAGAAGAGGTCATTATTATGTGTGTTATTGGCAAGAAAGGGATAACTTCACACGTGGATAGTAAGTACTTCTTAAGAGAGGTACTTTCTGGATTGCAACAATCCTGAAATATGGCTCCAGCCAAGTGTGGACATTTTCAAGTAGATAAAAGATGTATTTCTTTTCTAACACTACGTTTTATTTTCCTTCTCTCCTACTGACTTTAAAACTGGACTTGGAATGCTTTTAGGAAGTTAAACCTCCCACAAAACAAAAAAAGCTTCTTGTATATAAGTAGGTATTGATCAATTTTAAGTGCTAACCGTGGTTGACATGTGGTCTCACTCATGCAGGAGATTGTTGGACAAGTAACATCAATGTTAAATGATGCTAAACTCCCAGGGAGAAATTTCCCCTCCCTGGCCTACAGGGAAATAGAAATGGAATAAGAAATGAAAGGCTGCATACCCCTGAGCAGTGAGATTACACTGTGATACAGTAATCAGAACTCAGAAAGCATGCTGTTAATGTACCAGCTTGTACTGTGTCTTAGAGATGAAGAAAAGTATAAGGTTAAGGGAATTTATAGAATGAATAGCAGAAATGGTTAACACACAACTGAAAATTTATCAGAGGTTATAAAATGATGCAATCATATGAAAAGGTACCTGTAGTAAGGTACTTGGCATACATACTTTTAAAACAGTTTATTTAGAATGTTAAAGAAAATCCGAACAATATTACCCTGGCACCTGCTATATTGTAGCAATAGTAACTTGCATTGCATGAAGTTTATTTCGTAGAGATAATACAAGTATGTTTATTGAGATTAACAGTGGCTGTTTCTGCACACTGAGAGTATAGATGATTTAATTTCTCATTTTTCCTTATTTGTATTTTTCATATTTTGAACAATGATCACACTTAATTTTTATTTTTTATTTTAACCAGACTTTCTTGTTTGCCTGGGCCTGAGGAGTTTCCCAGGACGTGGGACTTTCAGTTTTAAAACCAGAGCCATTCCTCACAGACCAGGAGAAGCTGGTCATTTTATTTTTAAAACAAAAAGTCAATTTTATTAAACAATTATTGGTTAAATAGTTTAGTACTACTTTTTCTTAAAATAATTTTGTTGACTTAGTTGAATGAAAAAAACAAAAACAAAAACAAATCCTAAGCTCCTACTTTCCTTTACTGCTCTTAAAGGCACAGCTGTGGGCTGGTTCCATCTCCCCGCCTGCTAGGTAATACGAATCTGATACTGTCCTTCCAGTAAATCATTCCACTACCTTTTTGGCTTCCACTCTAATTTACCCAGGTCATTTCTAAGTCTGATCAGGTCACAGTTAAAATTTTTGAATTTTGCAGTTTCCCATTTAGTGTGAATTGTGTGTTGTAGGAGAGAATTGCTCTCAGGGAACGCACAAGATCTCTGCTTGTTTCATTCAGAGCTTGTTGAAATCTAACCTGGAACCGAAGCTCCACCAAAGGAAGCTATTCTACTCTGTTTGCTTCTGTTATTCTTTCTTTTCTCCCTCTGACCCTTCCACAAATGATAGTTTATATTATCTGCCTGGTTTAGGTACTATGTTGGAAATTGTTCTGCTAAGTCTCCCAGAATTTTTTCCACATGTTAATTCATATCATGTTTATTTTAATGATGTCTCATGTTTACTTACAGACCAAATTGTGTCGCAAGAAAACAAAAAACCCTAAAAACAAATGAGATATTATGCCACATAAATCGTTTGTGGAAGAGACTAAGTGCATATCCTTTATGCCTCTCAAGTATTGCTGAGGCCAGCCGAGTCTAATGATTTAAAGACTTAAGGATCATATTTTGAGATAATCCGTTGACTGGCTGAGTGATCTTAGGCAAACCACTTAACCTTTCTTCCCTGAAGTGTGATTATGCACAGAAGGGAGATAATCATTCTAAGCTCATAAATGGTTAGTGAGAATCACATTATTTAATGTACATAAATCATTCAGTGCTAATATTAAAATCCAAGTTAAAGCAATTATTTGCTGACTAGACAGGGATCTCTAAAGAGATTTTTGTAAAAATAAATTACACAGTCAAGTTGAAGTGTTCATCCACTTCTACTAATATTGTTCATAATGAAATTCAAAATCAAATACTCTAGTTGCATTATTTTAAAAGCTAAAACTCGATGAAACCGAGCTTTTTTCTTTCAGTGTCCTTAACATTTTTGTACTTTAGATTTATAATCTTCAGGTATGCTAAGCAATAGCGGAGGAAACATTCTGATTTTGAAAAGACAATTTATTTGTGGATTTTTAGAAGACCTGCCCAAATGGAGGTTCAGTTTATCTAAAACAAATGAAAACCCTGTAAAAATGTGAAAAAAGAAGAGTGCATTGCTTAATTAATTAAATCAAGTATTTTAAATAATTTGTCTAGCTCTTAAACAAGAGCTATAGAATAACAGAGAGATATTTGTGTGAAATAGGAAAAGGAATACATGTAATTCAAATTACATAATATAATTTTAATAAAAATATGCATAGGATAATACCAGAGCTACTTTTACTAATATTAACAGTGGCTATCTCTGTTTGCCAGTGATATGGGAGGTGGGCAGGAAAGTGCTGGGTAGAGAAGGGCTGGTTCCCTGGTGAGGCTCCATCCTTAGGCCTGTGCCCACAGACCTAAATGACAACAGGCACTCCTGCTTTTGTGCCCAAATGTTGCATTTTCCATGACCACTCTGACCCACCACGCCCCTCATCCTGTGCCGATATAAACCTGAGAACTTAGCAGGCACACACAGAAGAAGCTGAAGGTTGAGACCAGCAGACTAGGAGACCAGCCATGGGAATGATGTAGCAGAGAAAGACAGAAGAAGATGGATGTCTGGATGCGAAGGGGAGTTTGGCTGGAGGCGATCAGAGAAGAGTCCAGCTGCTGTATGGCTCGACTCCAGGGGAAGACCATCTTCCCACTCCATTGCCCCTTTCAGCTCTCATCCATCTTGCTGAGAGCCACCTCCATCCCTCAATTAAATCTTGCATTTTTCCTTTAATGTGGTATGATGTGATTCTTCTGGGACACTGGGCAAGAGCTCAGGATACAGAAGACTGTCACACTGGCCCCCTGGCCTTACAGTAAGATAGAGGGTCCATTGAGCTGATTAACACATAAGCCATCTGTAGGTAGCAAAGCTAAAGGAGCACACTGTAACACATACCCACTTGGGCTTTGGGAGTCACAGACACCCACCTCTAGATGCTACTGAGGGACTGAGAGCCCAAAGCACTCGCCCTGGCCTCTATACCTGCACATCTGCGTGCCACTCCTAGGGGTCTGAACTGCAGGATTACCACACAGGTGAGTCACACCCCTGTTGCACGTCCTGTGAGGGTAATCTGGGAACTTTCCTGTTTCACTAGGAATGAAGATGTGTGTGTGTGTGTGTGTGTGTGTGTGTGTGTTTGTGTGTGTGTGTATGTGTGTGTATGTATGTGTGTAGAGATAGGGTCCCACTACGTTGCCTAGGCAGGTCTTAAACTTTTGGGCTTAAGTGGTCCTCCTGCCTTTGCCTCCCAAAGACCTGGGATTATAGGCATGAGCGTTTGCACCTGGCCTGAGGATGATTTTTAAATTGTGTCTTTTGCTTATTTGTGTTTTCTAAATTTTGGATACTGAATATATGTTTTTTAATCTTATCTCTTAAGATGAAAATTCAGCTTTTATTAAAAAACGAGAGTTAAATAATTTTCCAACATTTTTCTGTTTCCTGGATTCCATGCCTTCCTTCCAGGTACATCTATGTATGTAATAGCCAAGATATGGAAGTAAGCTAAGTTTTCATCAGTAGACAAATGGATAAAGAAAATGTGAGACATAGACACAGTGGAGTACTGTTCAGCTATAAAATATAATGAGATCCTGTCATTTGCAGCAACATGGATAGAACTCAAGATCATTATGTTAGGCAAAATAAATCAGGCATAGAAAGACAAACTTTCTCACTTGGTTGCGGGAGCTAAAAATTAAAACAATTGAACTCATGAACATAGAATAATTACCAGAGACTGGGAAGTATAGTAGGAATCTGGGGGGTTGGCAGGACTGTTACTGGGTACAAAAATATAGTTAGACAGAATGAATAAGAGCTACTATTTGATTGCACAACAGGTGACTATAGTCAATAATGACTTAATTGTACACTTTAAAATAAATAACTGGATTATTTGTAAGACAAAGGATACATGCTTATGTTGATGGATACCCCATTTAAACTGTTGTGATTTACACATTGTTTATCTGTGTCAAAACATCCCATATACCCCATAAATATAGACATCCACTGTAGACCTGCAAAAATTAAATATTCAAAATTAAAAACCAATTCCTCAAACTTTGGAAAATTTTTACCTGAATCATCTTGAATATTGCTTTTTGGTATTCTTTGAATAATATGGTTTGTCTGCGTTCGAACTCAAATCTCATCTTGAATTGTAGTTCCCATAATACCCATGTGTCATGGGATGTAATTTGATCATGGAAGTGGTTACTTCTATGCTGTTATTGTGATAGTGAGTGAGTTTTCATGAGATCTGATGGTTTATAAGGGTCTCTTCCCCTCTTTGCTCTGCACTTCTTCCTGCCATCATCTGAAGAAGGACATATTTGCTTCCCCTTCTGCCATAATTGTAAATTTCTGGAGGCCTCCCCAGCCATGCAGAACTGTCAATCTTCTTTCCTTTATAAATTAGCCAGTCTGGGACAGTCCTTTATAGCAGCATGATGATGGACTAATATACTGAAATCTCTATTTGTAGAACTTATGTTAGCCATTTTATGGAAGGCTGTTAAGCTGTCCTCTGAGTTTCTTAATCTTGTTTTTACTCTTTAAAAAACTTCTTAATTTTTCTGTCTGGTAGTCTTCTTAGCTGTTATTTTTTTCTTCAACTGTTTTTAGACTACAGTTGATCCTATCTACTGAGTTTTAAATGTCTATGAATTTTTTTACTCTCAAAAT